CCTGAAAGAGGGGCGGGGGTCAGGCTGCAGCCTTCCCCAGCTTGGAGGGGAACACCCAGAGCCACTGCTGAGCAGCAGGGCCCACGGCCTTCATGGTCTTCATGGAAACAAAGAAGCTGCTGATCAAGGTAGTCACAGTGGAAACAGGGGTGCTGTTTTCTGAGCACCGTTCTGAGCTAGTGTCGGCGCCCAGAGCAAGGCTCCAGGGGTGAACCCCACCTAGTAGATGAGAAACACCAGAGCAGTGGGAAAGCAGAGCAGTTATGCATCTGTAGGAGAGGCTCAGGGCCTTTGCACATGCTGTTCCCGCTGCCTGGACCACTCTCCCCCAGACCCCTCAGGGCTCCTCCCTTCACCTCCTCGGGTCTTCAGACAAATGCGCGGTGAGGTCCTTCCTGACTTAAAATAGCAACTCCCAGATACCAGCTCCCAAGGACAAGGACTGCCCCGTTCTTGACCATTTCCCAGCACACAGACCTCCCCAACAAGGAGCTATGCCCCTTAAGCACGTGCATGAGGCACCTGGGCTTGCCTAAGGCCCCACCACCGGCCTCTGAGCCCAGGCCTTTCCCTTCACCACACCCCAGGGGGCCCTGCCCACCTCGCCCAACCCCAGGGTGGTGGCAGGGTGGAAGCTGCTGCCTGGAGTTCTCCGTACCCTGGGCCAGGGACCTAGTGCCAGGGAAGCCTCTGTGAGGCCCCCACGCATGCCCGCCAGGCTCCTGTGACCCTGTGGGGCCCAGCATTCTGGCAGCCAGACCCTCCTCCCAGGCTCTGGAGCACCACTCACTGGGGGAAAGGGCCAGTGACCAAGCCAGCTCCCAACTCCAGGGAAAGCTTGTTGACTTTCTGCACCAGCAAAAGCCCAACACAGAAGAGGGGCTCCATGCTGACCGGCTCTATGGAGCCTGGGCCCTCAGAGGCACTACCACAGGCCCCGTGGTCCCCACACAAGGAGGGCTCAAGGGCCTCCTCGGCTGTGTGCACATTATCTAGGCTCTAAGGTCAAGAAGACTCACCTACTTCCTGGCTGTGTGGCCCTGGACAAGTTACTCAACCTCTCTGAGCCTCCATTTTCTCATCTATAATGTGGGCTGCCCCCACCTGCCATCTCGCAGAATTACGTAAGATTTACAGAGATAATGACACCCAGCCTAGAAGAGATCCTGCATGGAGTTAACTATCATCAGACCAACACTGGCAAAACAGTACTGGCAGTACAGCCAGGCCCTTTCTCCC